AGAAAACAAACAACCTACAACAGCAATGACAACATTAGTGGATATCGTTTGGGATTTACCAGGAATAAAATCCTAGCTCTGTTACTTCTTAATTGTATTTTCAGATATTCATTTATAAAATATCTATTTTCTGAGATGGTTGTAATGGTGAGTTTTGAAACATTACATTTTATTAAATAGCATACTTACATTGACTATTCTGTATGTGTGTGTGTGTATATATACACATATTCAGATTTTTTAAATTTATACATATACATATATTTGAAGGAGTATAATTAAGAAGAAAATCTACTCCCAACAGAAAACCTCTCCACAAATACAGAAGAGGAAGAAAATAGTATTATTGAATAAGCATTAAAGGAGAATGTGATGTATCACAGGCAATCTGCTAAGGAGGTTACAAAGACAGAAAGAAACTTGACCCTTTATATAAATTAGTGGATAGAACCTACTACATTTATGTTATGCGGGTAGAACTGCTAATTTTCTGGTATCTCTGTAGGGTTGCTATGAGTCGGAATTGACTCGACGGGTGACTGGTTTTGATTTTAGGGCCTAAGGTAGATTTGCAATTTGGGTCCTGGGCAAACTGAGACTATGCTAATTTCCTTCCAGGAAACTGGGAGATAAGGGAGGTTGAAAGCAGTGGCTGCCAGGTCCTTGAGTTAACACCTTATCCTTTTCAAAGAGACAGAGAAAGAATTTACAACCGGGAGAATCAAAACCTGTTATTGTCCAGTTGTATTTATCCTCACAATCTATCTTTCTAGCTATCAAACTATAGATCTATCAATCTATCATCTCTTTCTCTCTCTATCCATCCATCTAGCTGATACTTTGTTAAAAGTTGGCATATTTTAGTATTTTTAAAGCTCATAATGAAAATGTGAGGTAAACATTACTTCACAGAAGGTATAGCTGAAGCTTTCACAATTTAAATAATGTGCTCATTCTTTAAATGATGAAACCAGGGAGCAATTATCAAAAAAACAAACCAACACCAAGCCCATTGCCGTCAAGTTGATTCCGAGTCATAGTGAGTGACCCCATAAGACAGAGTAGAACTGCCTGATAGAGTTTCCAAGGAGCACCTGGTGGATGCAAACTATCAACCTTTTGGTTAGCAGCAGCCGTAGCTCTTCACCACTAAACCACTATGCCACCAGCATTTCCAACTGTGGTTAGATGCCACAAAGTAGGTGGCAATGCCTTAACCATATGTGTGTTGGAAGGCCCAAGGGCCTCTTCCATCCTTGTCAAGGGGAGTACTAATCTTCTCTCTTTTTCATTACAGTTATGTCTAATTCCAAAGCTTATTGTCCTAATTGAGAATATGAAAAATGGTACTTGCTTTCACTTAGTCTTTCCTAAATTAGATATTTGCACCCTAACCAAGGTTTAATTTTTTCCATTTTTAAACTGCCCCATGGAGTTTCCAAGGAGTGGCTGGTGGATTCCAACTGCTGACCTTTGGGTTAGCTGCCAAGCTCCTAACCACTTTGCCAACATGGCTTCTCTCCTAAAAAACAATAATGCTTAATAACAAAGTTATTTCAGTTAATGACCTAACTATAGGGTCTAAACCATGTCACATTGTATGACTTCCTCCAGGCCAAACAATCAGCAAGTACATTAGCTAAATCCCCCTTTGATGCTTACTATGACTCATCTCAGTTGTTGTATTTTCAATCTGAAGCTGTTGCTTCATCCACATTCAGGAATCAGTAAAAGCATATTACATTGATTTGACAGGAGTTCAAGAAATGATTAAAATTTCAAAGAACATGGGCCTGTCTTACTAAAAAGATTTTTTTTTGGAATCAGTTTGCTCTGGAAACAGTAAAATTGGAAGTATTTATATTGAGGTTGGGACACAGTGGTTAAGCATTTGACTGCTAACCAAAAGGTCAGCAGTTTGAATCCAACAGCAGCTCCTTGGAAACCCTATGGGGCAGTTCTGCTCTGTCCTATAGGGTTGCTATGAGTTGGAATCGACTCAATGGCAATGGGTATGGTTGGTTTTTGATACATTGCAGTTATCATTCTATAAATATGAAGATAGAAAAATAAAATATAGACAATACAAAAACAAACAAATCAAAGATAACTTGAGAACATTTCACTTCTCTTGAGAAAAAAGAAGGAAATAAGCCATCAACACAAAGTTGGGAGAAAAAAAGAATAAAACAAGATTTAATAAGAACATACCGTTTTATGTACGGTATTTAGAAAATGAGATTAGACCAAAGTTTAAATTCATCATATGAAGCAAAAAGTATCAAATTATTTAACATATTTTTAAATTTAAAAAAATATTATGCATTATAGAAAATTATATTTAAACAACCATCTTATAAACACAAGAAGATAAAAGATACAGTCAGAAAAAAACTTAAATCTATGCAAAAGACAAACTATATAAACTGATTATATTTATTTGACATATAACATAATACTTAAGAGTTAAGAAACAGGTGATTAGAAATATTATCAAGTACAGGAATTAAGCAATTTATGCTGATCAGCCTCTGGTGCTATACAATCAGTTTTCTCAGAATAAAAAAAAAATATTTTGGTAAATAGGGATTTTACATTCCTGTTACTATTCTAATCTTAGGGCCGAAAAGATACAGGGTGGGTACTCAAATTCCAAAATAAAATATACAGTTAGGTAAATATCCTCAGAAAAGCACAAAGTTAATGTGGATTTAACTTATCTCTGAAGATACCTTTTTGAAAAATTTTGGTTCAGTCTTAAGGGAAAACTGGTTAGAAAGAGTTTACATAACACTGAGTAACAAAATTTCATGTGTGTCTTTCTCTCTCAATTTTTTTTTTTTAAATCTACATCATTAAATTAATTTTAGAACAACTTTGGGGAAGATAGTTGTGTCAATCTCTTACTCCCAAGGTATCCATATTAGAACTAATTGTTTGGCCATTTAACTTTGAAAGTAATATCAAACCACTTGTAATAAAAAACCGCTTGAAATGCAGGAAACCAGACATCCCATAAAACTGTTTTCAAAAACGTTAGAAAGGTTTTAGTTCTCTATTTTAACCCTGAGTGTAATGCCATAGAGAAGAGTCACAAAATAGTAATTCCTGTATGTTTTTCATATTTCTTACAGGTCATGGATTTCTTGCCTTTTTATTGTGTAATATGACTTCTATGTTTTAATTTCCAGTTAATTGAAAATTATTAACGTCTATCATAATTGCAGCTGTGATTATAGTTACAAATATAGTTCTTGTCTATTAACAAAATAGCGTTGTTGTTGTTGTTAGGTGCCGTCAGGTGGTTCTGACTCATAGCGACCCTCTGCACAACAGAACGAAACACTGCCAGTCCTGTGCCATCCTCACAATCATTGTTATACTTGAACCTATTGTTCAGGCCACCATGTCAATCCATCTTATTGGGGGTCTTCCTCTTTTTCACTGACCCTTTACTTTACCAAGCACGATGTCCTTCTCCAGGGACTGATCCCTCCTGAAGACATGTCCAAAGTACGTGAGATGAAGTCTCAAAATCCTTGCTTCTAGGGAGGCTTCTGGCTGTATTTCTTCCAAGACAGATTTGTTCGTTCTTTTGTCAGTTTATGATATATTCAATATTCTTCGCCAACACCATAATTCAAAGGCATCAATTCTTCTTCCGTCTTCCTTATTCATTTCCCAGCTTTTGCACGCATATGAGGTGATTGAAAACACCATAGACTGAGTCAGGTGCAGCCTCGTCTTTAAGGTGACATCTTTGCTTTTTAACACTTTAAGAGGCCTCTTGCAACAGATTTGCCAAATGCAATGGGCTGTTTGACTTCTTGACTGCTGCTTCCACGGGTATTGATTGTGGATCAAACAAAATATCATCTAGATGAGGAATAAAGCCATTAAGACAAACAGAATACCTCCCCCCACTACCATTTAATGCCACCTTCCTGAGTTAACGGAATTGCACACATCTTTCCAGGTTATTTCAAATTTTCAGGATTTGAAAATAAAAGCTGTCAATACTTCATCCTGTGATGCAAATATTTTCCCAACTTTGTTGTTGTTATTACTTGGCCTTTTAATGTTGTTTTCGCCATATCTTAAATGTATTTAACTGTATCTTTCTATTCCTTCATGGATTCTGAATTTCTTGGCAACTTAAGAAAATCTTCCCAACTCAGTCTATATATAAAGATTAACCTAGGCTTTCTTATAGTTATTTTATTTTAAAATACATTTAGACTGCTATTCTATATTAAATTTTTGTTATTAAAACCTACAGTGTATACCACAGCAATTAAGAACTCTGTTGGCTTCTTACACTGCCTTTTCCAATTGAGCTACGACCTTAGGGGAAGTCATTTAACTGCAATTTGAGAAACTAAAGGGTTTCTCATTGTTTTTATTAGTAAAGTTGTGGAGAAGGAGCCTGGTGGCACAGTAGTTAAGCACCTGACTATTAACCAAAAGGTCAGCAGTTCGAACCCAACAGCCGCTCCTCAGAAGAAAGATGTGGCAGTCTGCTTCTGCAAAGATTATGGCCTTAGAAACCCTGCAGGGCAGTTCTACCCTGTCCTATTGGGTCACTATGATTCAGAATCAACTCTATTGCAATGGGTTAAAATTGGGGAGGGTAATAATACGTATTTATATTCATCAGGATTAAATGAGTTAAACAAATACTTCAAAGAGTTCATGGATTTTCACAAGCTGTCAGTATACCTGACTGTCTTCATCAGCTCCTACACGAAACAGTCCACGATAGGTATAAGGCACTCAATAAGTATTGGTTGAGTTGAACGTGTTGCACAAAACATTTCCTTTTTCTAAGCTGTATTGTTGATAAATAGATGAACCATATAGAGGCCGTGTTCTCAGTTAGCTTTTAATCAGGTAAAATAAAAATATTCCATATAGCATCTGATGAAATTTTTATAACTTTTTTCCCCTGAAGATAGCATTAAAACCCTTTATTTTCATTCAGTTTTTTTTTCAATTTGCAGACAATGTACAGCAAATTGTTGAAGTCCCTGTGTATGTTCAAGTTCTTAATATCAATGATCATGCTCCTGAGTTCTCTCAATACTATGAGACTTATGTTTGTGAAAATGCAGACGCTGGCCAGGTAAGAACCCAGAATAAATTAGTAAAAGCTAAGCAACGTCCATTATACCTTGATTAAAACTTCTGCTACATATCCTCCAATTCTGAAATATTTTAAAAATAAACTTTATTCTAACTATATTTATTGGTGGTGCAAACAGTTAAGCTCTCAGCTTCTAACTGAAAGATTGGCAGTTTGAACCCACCCAGTGGCTCATGAGAGAAAGACCTGGCAATCTGCTTCTATAAAGATTACAGCCAAGAAAACCCTATGGAACAGTTCTACTCTGTTACATGGGGTTGTCCTGAGTCAGAATTGACTTGACTGCACCTAAGAACAACAATTATATGTTTTATGTTGTGGGTTCTATTTAATAATTTAAATTTCTATTTTTTAAAGTTAATAACAAGTAAACTTCGAGTTTTCCAGTTCCAAATTTCTCACATATTTAAAAAATCTTCTGCTAGCACTAGAGATTCAGTAGTAATTCATTTATACTTTGTCAATACAATAAAGAAAAATGCTTTTTTGTATTTCTATAGAATAATCACGTTTTCATTAGTTTTTAATTCATCATAGTGATAAAGGTAAAATAGTATATAAGTATAAAAATATAAAGGGGAACAAAACTGGAAATTTTCCCATAGCTTGTAACCACTACATCAAATATATCAACACAACTGAAACACCATTTCATATGAATTACTAGATATATAAAAACTTATGAAAGCATGCTCATTTTCAAATACCTTGTAACTCTAATAAATTACACTTTTAGCGTGGTAAAGAAGTTTCTTTAAAAGTCAAATAATTTTGAAAATAAACAATGTATCTTAACAATTTTCCAATTAATGCATATTCAATTTACTTATGTTAAAATATATATTTAACAGTTATCACAAATACAATTACATTTTAGAGTCTTTACAATTATGTATTTCAAATTTGAAGTATAAAACTAGTATGGCAAAGAATTTTAAACCCTTTACATAATATGATTGTATTCTGATTATCCTGTTGATTAGACAACCTATTTCCAAACTAAAACAAGAGGCTTAAGTTACTTTATCTTCTATAAAGGAGCCCTGGTGGTGCAGTGGCTAAGCACTCAGCTGCTAAGCGATAGGTCAGTGGTTGGAATCCACTAGCAGCTCTGCAGGAGAAAGATGTGGTAGTCTGCTTCCATAAAGATTTCAGCCTAGGAAACCCTATGGGGCAGTCCTACTTTGTCCTATAAGTCAGAATCGACTTGATGGCACCCAACAGCAACAACAATAACAGTCTGTACACTTATTTCTATAAATGTCCTGGGCAATAAAGACACTTATTTACTCAAAAAAGTTGCATATACAATGGTCTCAGTTGGGCTGAGGTTACTGGGCAGAAGATTCGGAAAGGCAACACAATTTATAAAATAGGACACTTGAGACCAGAGCACTAGAGCTGAGTGATCAAGAGTTCTAGGAGGATACTACCTGAGTCCAGTGACCACCCTGGACTTTTCTTGTAAATCCTTAGTTGCTGTTATGTCAGTGGGAATCCCTAAGTCTGTAACCTCAGAAATCTGAGGTGCTTATTGCCTATCAGTCATCCAAGTGGAGATGTCATATAGACAACCAGGTACACTGATATGGAGTTCAGGGGAGAAGTCCATGCTGGAGATAAAAGTTGCAGGTATCAGTTTTATACATGATATTTGAAACTTAAAGCTTGGGGGAAACACCAAAGAAGTGAGTGTGGACAGAAAAGAGAATTCTGAAGACTGAGACCTGAGCACATCAATGCTAAATAGCTGTGGGAGTGGGGTGGGCACACTAGCAAAGACAACTGGTGAGGAGCAATCCAGGAGTATGTGATAACTTAGAAATCAAATAAAGAGGGCTATTACCTTACTTCTGTGTTACGTATAAATCAGGTAAAAGCATCTGTTGGATTTAAAAACGCTTTCAACTTTCTAAAATATTTGGACTTAGAAAAGGATGTGACGCCACTGAGGAAGAAAATAAAATAAGAATATAAAAGGACAGAGGACAGAGACCTTAAATACATCAATATTTCAGAATCAGGTAAAGGAAGATTACTGTAAACAAAACGGAGGGTTTGTGACCAGAGAAGTGGGAAGGAAACAGTAAGACTATTGACACAGACATGTACGGAGGCCATAGTTTTGAAAGAGGAAACGTCAACATCCTTAACCCTCAGTGTTTCAGGAAAAGTGGTTCTCACTATTTACATCATGGTCAAACATACTCTTTAAAAAAAAATGCATTTTATAAATAATTCAAAGAAATAATAAAGGAATAGTGAAAAACTTTATTAAAATTGAAGTATAATGTAAACACAGTAAATCCATACTTTATTTCATATTTTTTCTGTGTTTAAGGTATGAAATATTTATTCAAAATTTCAAATACATCTCTGTTAAGTGCTAGCTTATGATTACTTCTGGTTCTTGAATTCACATTGCTAAAATTAAGTATTTCAAGAGTTTTTTAAATCTTTGGCAGCTCATATTTGGGTGGAAGAGAAAATGGCCATCTTCTTTAATCCAGGACTGCAAAGCATTTAATTTTTAGATTTATAAACATCAAATAATATGATAAATCCACTTTTTAAAAAAAAATTGTACTGTATCTATTTACTTCCAGTCACACTGGGATACATACTATCTTCTACATTTTTCCATTTACAAGATGTATCGAGTAAATTTTGGTGGAAAAATCTTATAAAAGATGAAAATATACAGTAACATTTATTTTTAGCCAACCAGGATGGTCTAAGTTATTGTCACAAAATATTATGTGAAGTTCTTCCTCTTGAATGGTGACACCATATTTTCTCTTTGTACTTGGAGTTATGTTGTTTACTCATTGATTCTTGATTTTGAGACGGTTCACCTGGTATATAGTCACCTGAAGATTCAAAGTCTGAGATTTTGGTTACATGATCAATTTCATCATCATCTTGAGTTTACAGTGCTGCTTTCTGCTTTTGCTATCCAACCTCTGAGTCATCTAGTAATTGTGAAATGTCTGACTTTGTCAATTTTCTTTTCTTTGTCATATAGACAGAAAATTAAAAATGCAGAATTTTCAACTGTAGTCAATGAAAGCTAAAATAAGAGTAAAAGGTGGTCTACCAACTGTCCTTTATATCTTCTTGAAAGTGATGTAATACTTTGGGCAATAAAATTTTTTAAAAAATTAAATGATGCAATGGTGAAGATTTGTTTTATTATTATATCATCTTTCTTTGCCATCCTTCATACAGTTCCCTTATTATTTCTTTCAAGTGCATATTTGGAAAAATTTATGAGTAAGGATGAAACAATTCCTTGGATGATGAAATGGCAAAATGTTCAAGGCATAAGAAAAATAATATCCCTGAGTTCCCGTAATGTATTCTAGCTTTATAAAAGTGTCCAAAATTCCCATGTAATAATTGAAGGTAGAATTAGTTTTATAGTACTTTTTAAAAAATAAGTCAATAATATATTTATTTTTTTGTTTGTTTTGCAGTCCTACCCTTAATACAATTTTCCCATCACTGTTAGCTCCCTTTTTCCCCCCTACCTCCTACCTCTGGTAACCACTAATGAACTTTGGTCTCAATACATTTACCTTTTCTTGTCTTTTTAAGTAAGTAGGGTCATATAATACATGTCATTTTGTGATTGGTGTATTTTGCTCAGCATATCTTCAACTCCATCCCTACTGTAGCATGTATATGTATCAAGATTTCATTTCTCCTACTAGCTGAATAGTATCCATTGTATGTATCTACCACATTTTGTTTATCCATTCATCTGTTGATGGGCATTTAGTTGTTTGCATCTTTTGGCTATTGTGAATAGTGCTGCAATGAACATTGGTGTACAAGTCTTTTTTTGTGTCTCTGCTTTCAAGTCTTTTGGGTATATACCTAGGAATGGAATTGCTGGGTCATATGGTAGTTCTATTTTTAGTTTTTTGAGGAACCGCCACATTGTTTTCCACAATGGCTGTACAATTTTGCATTTCCACCAGCAGTTGCTAAGGGTTCCAATTTCCCCACATCCTCACCAACATTTGTTATTTTCTTTTTTTTTCCATCTTAGCCATTCTAGTGGGAGTGAAATGATATCTTATTATGGTTTTCATTTGCATCTCTCTGATAGCTAATGACACTGACCATCTTTTCACAAGTTTGGTGGCCATTTGAATGTCCTTTTTGTGAAATGTCTATTCAAGTCCTTTGCCCATATTATGAGTGGGTTATTTGTCTTTTTGCTGTTAAGTTGTCAAACTTTTATATACATTTTGGTTATTACATTCTTGTTGGATATATGGTTTCTGAAGATATTCTCCCTGTTGGTAGCTTGTCTTTTCTCCTTTTCTTTTTAATATCTTTTTTTTTTTTATTGTGCTTTAGATGAAGGTTTACAGAGCAAATTAGTTTCTCATTAAGCAATTAATACACATATTGTTTTGTGACATTGGTTGCCAACCCCATGACATGTAAACACTCTCCCTTTCTCTATCATGAGTTCCCCATTACCAGCTTTCTTGTCCCCTCTTGCCTTCTTGCCATTGCCCCTGGGCTGGTGTGCCCATTTAGACTTATTTTGTTTTATGGACCTGTCCAATCTTTGGCTGAAGTGTGAACCTCAAGAGTGACTTCAGCACTGAGTTAAAACTGTGTCCAGAGGCCATACTCCTGGAGTTTCTCTGGTCTCTTTTTGTGAGTTAGAATTTTGTTCTACATTTTTCTCTTGCTCTGTCCAGGACCTCTGTTGTGCTCCCTGTCAGAACAGTAAGTGGTAGTAGCTGGGCACCATCTAGTTGTCCTGGATTCAGTCTTGTGGAGTCTGTGATAGTTGTGGTCCATTAGTTCTTTGTACCAATCTTTCTCTTGTGTCTTTGGCTTTCTTCATTCTCTAGACAGGGTGGGATCAGTGGAGTATCTTAGATGGACACTCACAAGATTTTAAGACCCCAGACACTAGTCACCAAAGTAGGATGTAGAACATTTTCTTATAAACT